GGATTTGAGCCTTTAACTGCGTCGGGAGGACCCGAGATCGCAGCATCGTGTTTTCCCACGCGTGGCAGGCGCAGTTCTGACCTGCACGTCACCCCTCGTGCGGGTGTCGGCCGTCGCTGCCCCCGGGGTCCTGTAGGCGAGCGGTTAGCCAGAGGGCAGACTCTTCAGCCTGGCTCGTCCTCGACGGGTCTCTGCTGGCTACTTGGGGGATGCATGATGCGACTTACGTGCATATGTAACATCTACTCTCTTATGTCCACATAATAGTGTAATAATGATTAGTGGCTTAGATTTCATGTTTCCTGGTACAAATTAGACTGCGATGGACGGGTCAGTACTAAACAGCTGCAGGGTGGGCTCTTGGCGGCACTGGGTGGGGTTGATTACCCGTGGAGCCCATTTATTCCCCCTGGCGGCGTCCCCCAGGCTCTGAAGGGTGGGTACAGGCCCCCACTTACAGTAGAGGCAGCAGGTGCTGTTTCTTTGTTTGTTTTTATCCCTACTTCATTGATAAAGACAAGGAACCTTGGAGAATCTAGGGAATTTACACGTGTGCTCTGACGCTACGACGGACAGTTGGACGTGTCCACCTGGCCAAGGTGTAGACGTCAGGTATTTAACCAAACACTGCCTGAGGGTGACAAGCGCGGGACCATCTTTCTAAGCCAGTAGCTTGGGCAGCCCCGGTGGCGCAGCGGCTTAGTACTGCCTGCAGCCCGGGGTGTGATCCTGGAGACCCGGGATCGAGTCCCACGTCGGGCTCCCTGCATGGAGCCTGCTTCTCCCTCTGCCTGTGTCTCTGCCTCTCTTTTGCTCTCTCTGAATAAATAAATAAATAAATAAATAAATAAATAAATAAATAAATCTTAAAAAAAAAAATAAGCCAATAGCTTGGCTTGCGGGAACATGGTCACATCTCCGATTCTTGCTTTTGACTCTCCGGAGCCACACAATTACCTGGCTCGTCCCTTCTTGAGTCCCTCTTGTGACATTTCCTCTGGTGAGCTTTCCACCCCGAAATAGATACCTTTTTTGCTGAACTCACCGGGAGATGGTTATGCTTCCAGAAGCAAGGCAGGAACAGAGTCTTCAAAATGTGAACCCCGTTATTCTAAGACTTGCAGAGTATTTCCTAAGTGCCGTATCTGGATTATTTCATCGGGCCTTCAAAACGGCCTTGCAAGGCGGGATTTATCATCCCCACCCTGTCTTAGCTGAAGAAACTAAAGGTTTATTCATCTGCCCAACGCGGGTAAGTGGCAAATCCAGATACAAGGCCTGGTGTCCTGACTCTGGGCCTCGCGCTCCAGTCCACATGAGAGCCGCCAACAGGCCGTGAAACCGTTTCCAATACAGGGTCACGTACCGTCGACGCTCACCATCCGTGGATTCCGTATTTGCAGCTTCGTCTACTGGGTAACGTGTATCCGTAACCCCCACATCAGCGCTCACCAGGTTTTCGTGGTCATTCACGGGCGTGGGCAGAGTGGGGGAAACCCCGAGTCTCCTGGCGCGCTCCTCCCAGCCGGGGGTCAAGGAGCTGGTGTGTCCCTGTCTCAGCATCCCTACCGTAGATCCGCGTCCTCGCGGTCTATTTACCACCACGTCTGTTGATTTGAGGGAGTCTCACTGATGGTTCCGACACGTCTAGTGGCCTTCCAGCATCGTGCTCAAGAGCTGTCCTTGCTCAAGACTGGTCCTAAGCGTGAGGAGGTGGTGAGGTGCCTCACGTGTGTTACCGGACAGTTTCCGCTGCAGCTTGAATAGCGCTGTTGGCCTCAAGCTCAATGCTGATCCGTCAACTGTGTCTGTTAATAAGGCGTCTTTAAACAGAGACCCACGCGAGAGCAGGTTATGTGCTGATGGGTGGACACACGTGTTGTGACCAGCAGAGACCTGGCCCCGTCTTTTCCCCCAGAAGCAGCGATCCAGGATTGCGGGGACTCTGTAGACTGCGACTGACAAGAGTGGACTGTACTTGTCTGTGATCTCGCTTTCCTTAATTAGTTGATTTGTTAGATACTCAGTGTTTTGCTCTCAAAGGGCGAATGTTCTCAAAGGGACAAAAATCGGTTCTCGGTTGGGGAGGCGAGTGCTCCTGTTCATGCAAAAAAAGCAGAGATGACCCACGGAGCGCGGAGCGGACATACAGCGTATTGGCAGTATTAGTTTCTTTCGGGGGGATAATTAGGAAAAAAAAAAAGTGTAACGAGTTTCCTTGTGGGGAGGGCAGCAAGGAAAAACGTGATTCTCAAATAGCCGCTGGGCACCGTGACTACGTGGCGGGACATTTAGGGTATTTAGCAGCCTACATGGCACATGGCTGTTACCGTGAATATTGATGACACTATCTGTTTTTTATTTTTAATCCTTTTCCCTTCCTTCATAAACCAGCATTTCTTCAGTTGGGGTCCACGGTCCCCTGAGGGCTCTGCATTCTGTTTTTCGACCTGAGAATTTCCTCCGAAATTTATTTTTTATTTATTTATTTTTTAAAGATTTTTATTTACTTATTCATAGAGACACAGAGGGAGAAGCAGAGACATAGGCAGAGGGAGAAGCAGGCTCCATGCAGGGAGCCTGACGTGGGACTCGATCCAGGGCCTTCAGGATCACGCCTTGGGCTGCTGGGCTGCAGGCGGCGCTAAACCGCTGCACCACTGGGGCTGCCCTCCTCCGAAATTTATTTTACTTTGTGCTTCCACTTTGATGACAATCATAAATACGACAATCACTGTCTACTGGCTCCCCGTATCGGTGAGTCCTGCCACACGATCTCGTCGTCCGAGTTTATGCCTGTCATTTAAGGCGAGAATCCTACTTCGACGCTTATGGGCCAATAAGGAATAAAACGAGAGCAGACTTAGAGGTGGGGAGTGAGACCGTCAGGGCGAGGGAAGGCCCCGTGTCCTGGGAGGAAGGGCTCCCAGGCTCGCGGGGAGGAACCGTGGGCCTCACTCGGAGGCCTCGCTGGGCCCGGGCGGCGACACCCAAACCAAGGGAGCCTTGGCCTCCGCAGCCAGTGCTGCGTTTACATCTTGAAATGCAGCTTAGCAGCTTAATCTCTGCAAAGTAACATCGTCGGCCACTGAAATCAATGCCGTTGATTTGGATTTTATGGCCTTTCCTGTTTCAGTGGTTGATTTGTTTGACTCGTTACTTTGTTTTGGTGTCATTGTTGAACCCGAGTCAAAGCCTTTGGAGTCTATTTCTCGCTTTCCGTTCGTGCATCACCGAGTAACAGTAGACGAAAGACGACTGACGCCGCCAGCAGCCGTGGCCAGGAGCGCTTCGGGCCGTGTGAGAGCGAGTGTTGGCATCACTCAGACCTGAGGGGCACTGTAACGGACTCGCAGGATCACAGCATTGGAGCTGCGGGGGGTCGCTCAGCGCGGCCGTGTCCCCCCACATGTGGACACAGCCTCCTGGGGGAGGGGTGAGAGGCCGAGCTCCAAGCTGCTCCCGTCACTCCCGGGATTCAGACAAATCCCCGGGGCTCTTGAAACGGAGCCCGCCTGCGCCTTCTGCCCCGCGTTTACAGGTGCGTGCACTGCACCAAGCTGGGCTGTGGCGCCGCCAGGACCGTGTCCCTCAGCTCCACGTAAGAGCTGCCGTCTAACTCGTTGAAGCAGGAGGAGCTCCTCTGTCGTACAGGTGGACGGTCATCACATTGGGTCTCGGTTGCCATGTGACACATGACCACAAGCCTATAGTAGCTTCGCGCCAGGTACCTTTATTATCCCACAGTGTCCGGGGTGGGAGTTCTGGGCCCGGGTCAGCTGGGAGTTTGGCTGTGGTCCCCGCAGAGCTGTAATCAAGACGCCGGCCAGGGCGGTGCCCTCGCCCGAGGCGTAGGTCTTCCACGCTCACGTGGGTGTTGACCAAATTCATTCGTTGCCGCCGCACAACTCACAGCTGCTTGCTTCTTCAGGCCAGGGGGCCCGGGGGGGCGTCTCTTTCCCCTGGACTCTTGGAGAGAGGTGAGAGCTTACCTATTTAGGCCAGGCCCACCCAAGATAATCTCCCTTTTGATGAAAGTCAACCGATTAGGGTCTGCAAACCCCCTCACTATTGCCTATTCTGTTGCTTAGGGGCAACGTCCGTGGAGGGAGCAGACCACCAGCTCCGTCTGTTCAAGGGGCTGCAAAAAAATACCGCAGACTAGTGGCTTACAGCAACAGAAATTTGATTCTTGCAGTTCTGGAGTCTGAAAAGTCCAAGACCAAGGGGTCTGCTGAGAGCCGGCTTCCTGGTTCACAGGTGGCTGTCCCGCCCGTGTCTTCACGCGTGGACGGGCCGAGGGGGCTCTCTGGGGCCTCTTCTGCTACAGCGCTCGTCCCGTTCATGAGGGCTGCACCTCCTGCCCTTATCTCCTCCCGGAGGTTCCCCCTCCTAATGCCATCCCACTGGGGATGCACTTTTGAGACGCCTTCAGGGGCAGGGAGGGGACACATTGAAGCTGCAGCAGGTGCCATGGGCGTGGACTTCAAACTTGCGGGAGTTTTGTTTGTTGGTTTGTTCGTTTTTTTAAAGAAGAACCTATTAAAGCAGGGAATTTGGTTTTCAAGGTGATACATACATCCCCCTGGAGTCAGCGGGTTCTTACTATTCGGATGATGCCTCATCCTTAGGTGTGCTTTTGTCCTGCACCACGACACGTATAGGTTAGAGTTGCAGATAAAGAATCAATACTGTAGATGCGTTTCCCACGCGTCCTTTCTTACCCACACGGATGCCAGAGCGAGATCACGCTACCGTACGTTTTATGGTCTTGTCCGAGTTCGTAGTCGAGCTGTACTATTACGGGCTTCGATTCCACTCTTACGTGGGCCAGACGTCCAACACGTAAGGCGAGAAACCTAACCGACTCCATCCTGGGGACCGTGGCCCCCTTCGTGGAAGCAGGTGGTGCGGCGCGGCGCGGGGCGGGACGGAGCGGCAGGCGCGGTCCGGTTCTGAAGTCACAAAACTCAAAAGCTGCTCATTCCTGTCTTCTCCAGGCAAAGGCAGCTCAAGCATCTCATCCGACGTGAGTTCAAGTACAGATCACACGCCGACCCAAGCCCAGAAGAATGTGGCTACCAGTGAAGGTAGGCATCTGGTCTTCATTATCTCTCTGCCTGTGTTCACGGCGCAGGCTATTTTTGGAAGACGAATAAAATGTGTGAGTCTCAGTTCTGTTCTACTGGGTGGGAGCAGATGAGATTCTTAAAAATGAGGAGGCAAAGGGTTTCCCAAGTTTCTTTTTGGTGGTTGTGCTGTTGTTATCTGATAAAAGGGTTTTGGTAGGTTGCAAGGGCTGTCATTTGGTGGAAATGCAATAGGCTGACTTTTGGGGGGTTTTCAGGAGGTTACCCGTCCTGTGTCTCAGTGTGCAAGACGCTGTGATCGTAAAATTCCTGTGCTGTCACTAGAGGTTCCTGCAGGAGCTTTCGAAGCAGGCACACTCGGGATTCAGGGTTTTGACAACGGGCAGGTCACGGTCATGTGATTTGTAGAACTTGAAGTCGCCAATATGTGGGGGTAGGAAGCGAAGTCTGTTTGATTATTTAAAGAATACGTGGAAAACCCTGCTTCTCAGGACAAAGATCGGCTCTGCTGAGATTCCTGATATAGAGTTTCACTCCGTGTCGTAATACAGGTTGGAATTACTTGCTTTGCCTACAGTCCAGAAGCTTCCGTGTTATTACTCGTCGGCGTGTGGACGTCACCGTTCCTTGCGGTAGTCGTTTGCTGGAGCGTTGACCCAGTGGTGGAATCAGTCGTTTTTATTTTCACGGGAAACGCAATTAAGGGAGTTCTTTCCTGAAGGGAGAGCTCCTTTTAAGTGAATTGCCGAATGCGGGTCCAGCGTAAGACCTCGGCGCGGGTCCCGTGGGGGCCCCAGTGGGAGGTGTGCGCGGATTCTCGTGACACCGTGCAGAGCCCGTGGCTCAGAGCGTGCAGCGTGCAGGGTGCGTGTGGAGGGACGCGTCCGTGCTCCGTGTGCTCCGTGGTGGCAATGCAGGGACGCGTACCCGGGACGCGACGTTGGCCATCTCGGTGCGTGGTGGCCCTTGATCTGCGTGGCCGCGTGCCCATCAGTGAGGAGGGCCGGCCCCTGCTGTGTGTGTCTCCTCTCTGGACATTCTTGGGGGTGTCAAGCAGACTTTCACAACTGGGTTAGACTCCCCGGGGCTTCGTGCCCTGGCGTTGTTTTGCCAGCATTGTAAGGCGAACAGATTGGGGTCTTCCCCTCCGTGCTGCGAAGCCCCCGGTCGGAATCCACCCTTAATTTTCTGCCTGTTAATTCCAACTTGAGCGCTAGGTCATTCTTGAAATTCAGTTCCGGTGATGTGCAAGTCGGGTAAAGGGATTCTAGACGTCAGCTTTTGAGGCCTCCTTCCTAGGAGTGCAAGTCCCTTCGCTGTAACTTAGTTACGAAGCTCTCTCATCAGAGATCTGTGGTTCTGGGGGCGAACGCCTCTTTCCACCATGATTCTGGTCACTCTGGTCATAGTCACAGTTCAGCTAATTCGAGTGGCTGTGGAAATAGAAAGCTAAAAGCACGTTAAATAATCCCTCTGCATTTCCCTCTCCAGACTGAAGTCCTCCTATGATTGTCTTTTCCTTCTCAAAACCAGAAAATACAAAACCGTGTGGGCCGAGTTGCAGGGTTGGGAGGGGACTGTGGGCTTCACGCACCGCAGGGATTTAAAATTTTCATTTTGTTCTGCTTTTCCTTAGGAAGATTCTTTCGATGAAAGGCTCAGCCAGTGTTTTATACATTTTTGTCACAATGCATTTTCTAGCATTCTAGAAAAATGGGAAAATACGATGTTCATGTGAAACAGAAATTTAATAACCGGGCTAAATAACAGGGGATCTTTTTTTCCGACTCTTAAATGGAAGAACCGCATCTCTGTGAGCGAGGCGATCTATATTTTTGCGTGTCTGCAAAACTCAGCGTCTTTGACTGTTTGTATATATGAATCCGGTTTGCTGCTGTTTTTTTAATCAATGGAACTAAAAAATATTTCTTAAATGAGTTAGGTGTGGGTTTTACTTCCATGAGAATGTGTCTGTGGGGTGTTGGCTGTGGAGCAGTCTCAGTAGCCGCCCGGCTTTCGGGGGGGCGAGCAGCCAGCGCTCGGCTTGTCGTCGCACAGGTGCCGGGTGTGGTGGGCCCACGAGGGGACAGGAAGGCCCTTGCGCCCTGGAGCCAGCTGAGGACCTGTGAGCGCTCGTGTCCCCGTGCGTCCGGAACTGTGGGACCTCGGGGGATAAGTGATGGTCCCAGACGAGTGACGGGCTCTCCAGAAGCCGGTGGACCGCCGTGGCTTCCTCGGGCTCCTCGACCCTCCTCGGAGGGCTCCTCACCCCTGAACCTGCAGCATCCCCTTGGAGAAATGCAAGCTGAGCCATGCGGGTTTCTGAAGACCAGCGACAGGGAGAGGAGGGTGCTGGGGCCCGCAGGCTGGGCACGTCGGGGCGGCCGTGACCTCCTCCCTGCTGCAGGTGGGGCCCCTGGAGAAGCAGCTGCGTTCCCGGCCATGGGGTGTCCTGCTGCGGGGGCCCCAGCCCCACAGTGGGGTCGTGCGAGCCTTCCTGGGATCCCTGGGCCATGGGTGTTGAGCGGCAGTGCCCGGCACGGCCCGCAGACGTGCAGTGACCTGCTCCTGGAGGGGCCGCACCGCCTCTGGGGAAGCCCTGGCCGTTGGGCCTCGGGAGGCAGGGGCCCCAGGGCCTAAGGGCATCGCCAGCATCCCTGCACCACGACAGCTCACAGCCCAGTGCGGGGTCCATGCTTCCCGGGGACCTCCGGAGCACCCCTGCACCACGACAGCTCACAGCCCGGTGTGCTGTCCGTCGGGGGATACATGCTCCAGGGACCCGAGGGGGTACACCCTCTGGTTTCTCAGAACCTTTTCTTTTTAAGCTTTTCCTGGAGAGTCTGCAGCCTCTGCTTGGACATCAAGTTCTCAGCAACCACGCCTGATTGATGGCCAAGGCCTCAGTCACACTTACGGCATCTAAGGAGCATAAGGACTTAGGCCTCTGCTGTCGTCCTGGTGGCCCCACTCAGCGGCTTTGGGTCCTAAGGCTGTCCCCTAGGCATGGTGGGCACAGCTGGGGGTACGGTTTGGTTTCCATCCAACGGACAACGGGATTTTCTTACCTAAGTGGCAGCGTCCCATTCCAACCCCATTCCAAAGTCTCCTGCCAAAGCTTCGTGCATCTTCCCTTTGTGAGCCCTGAAGCCACACCTCTTCTAAGGCGTTGGCAGCTCTGGTTGCAGAGCAGAGGTAGGCTTTTAAGGCATTCCCCTTGATAAATGGTAGACGCTCTCTTTAAAGCCCATTATAGGTCTTGTGACAGTTTAAGTTCCTGATTTCCTGACACTGTAGGGGGTTTGGGTTCAAGTGCAGAAAGCTGGAAACATTCCATTTTTTCCCAACGAAATCTGCATTCCGGCATAGTAAGCCACAGCTTAATTCTTTCCAGTTGTGTCGCTCTTCTTTCTGTTATGCTTTTTTTTTTTTTTTTTCAGTCTTTCTCATCCACGGGGTGTTGAAGGAACGGCCTTTGACCTTCCGCTATGAAAGTCACGTCCAGCCCGTGGTTAGAACGGAGCACACGGCAGCCAGCCCGAAACAGAGTCCGTTGGGTTGGGTCGGGTCATGAGGCCGCTTCCTAGAAATCGTAAGCTCAGCCTGGCCTTGGTCTTTCTGAGAACAGGGTTATGAGGATGTGGCTTGACTGGGGGCATCTCAACAACTCCGACTGCTCTTGGGCCTGGGGAAGGTGACGCAGTTGGTTCAGAGGCCAAATGTAACTGGCTGCTGAAGGGTCCGCTCCATCCAGCTGCTCTTTAAACATATTCAGGTTCAGATACTGAGCCCACTGACAGCACAATTTATAGGTGTGATGGCTTATAAATGCCGTTATCAAGCGGGCCAAACATGGAATCATAGGATTTTTAGAGCTACAAAGGCCTTGGCAACTTTTCTGACCTAATAACGCTCGTTTTACAAAGAAGTCCCTGCGGGCACAGAGAAATAAAGAGATTTGCTCAATATTACACACCTAATAAATTGCCGAGCCGGAGTTTGACACCGTGTTGTTTCAGCGAGCGATGGTCAATTCGGGGCGGGGGGGGGGGGGGGGATGCATAACCTTTGAAAAAAGTCGTTGCCTTCTAAGTGGGAAGCCGCTTAATGCTGTCCTGTCCCTCTGGTTGCTCGCTGCCTGTTTGAGCCGGTTGCAGAGCGGAGGTAGGCTGTTCGGGAGAGTTTAAGGTGAGAAACACTGGGTTCAAACAGAAAAAAGTACTTTCAACGGGAGGAGAGGATCTACTTCGACCGGTAAAAGGATCTCAACCCACTTACATAGGTCAGCTTCTCGCCTGGAGATGGCAACACTGCTTTTAAGTTAGCCCGTGATTATAAAAATAGCCTTTTCATAAATGGGTTTAATACCGTTTTGGGGAATCTCCCATTTAATTAACTCCCTGAAGGAAATCGACTTTAAAATGTTTCATTTGAGCCACGAGTGAAATGAGTTGACACGTAAAGGATTCCTTCCACCGTACCTAAAATCACCACTTTACTTATACAGTCGTGGGTTAACATGTTTTCATTGCCCAAATTAGACCAATCCCAAAGGGAGGTATTTCGAAAATGCCCAGGAATCGGGCTTTGTTTTATTCTCTTTGTCTTCCGTATATTATTTTCATTCTGCCTCTCGAACAAAATCCAGTGAGTCACTCGGGAAGGGAAAGATGATGCTTTTAATTCAGGGTGGATGTCATTTCCCTAAACAAAAGCCTTTCGACCATCCAGCGAATTCCACACGCATTTTTGGGATACCTATTATTTCACGCTGCTCCTCGCGCTCTCGTGAGGATTATTCATTCAGCTGTTCCCTTGTCACATTGGTCTTGCGAAGACGTGTAGATGTTTCACTTGGCAGATGACAATAGGGAGACTGGGAGAGCATCAGCGTGGCCCAGAGTCCTGGAAGATCAGCAAAAGGCAAAGATGGTTATGAGCTCTGAATTCTGAGTAAGATTCTTTTTTTTCCTGATGCTTGTTTTGTAATTGTCGTTAGA